TTACTGAGTACTCTTAAAGTCTTTACTTTCAAGTTGCTTTCCCCGAGCAACCTTCGACAAAGTTTTCTTTCTTGTTTTTAATTAAAAAACATTTTCATTGCAAGGTGCAAAATGGCTGGCAAATTGCATGGAGAACACAAGGCAGGACCGGCAGCAGGACTTCGGGCGCCATTTTGAGTTGCTGGCTTAACGAGAGAGACACCACTACACTGGCAGTCACACTCACACTTACACCCGCACACTGATTGAGTAAGTGACTGCGTTTTGTAGTTAGCTGGGCATGTCCTTTGGGTTTCGGCTAGTGTTTCTTGTTTTTTGTTTTTCAACAAGAGCAATGCCAGTACCAGCACTAGTCTCAGTACCATCACCATAACCAGAAACAAAGCAAGAAAAAAACAAAGTTTAATTAAGTTTGCTGGTTCTGGTTTATTTTTAACTCAAGTTGTTTTGCATACAACAGCCGTGAGTTTTGACAGCTGCTCGTAATTTATAAGGGCATTTAGTTGCAGATTTTTTCCCCACATATAAATGTGGGCGAACGCATATGAAGGGGGGGCTTAAAAATGAAACTTTTTCAAACAAATATATTTGATGGAGAGCTAAAACTAATGGGGTTTTGCTATGGTATATTTCGTTTTGTGTTTCATAAGCTTAAATATAGTTTTAATTAAACTTTAGCTAAGGGTATTTTTACAGATTTGTGGGGAGTTGGGTGTTAACTATGAAATTTTTCTTACTATTTGTAAACCCTTTCAGAGTATTATAATTTTAATCAGAAGACTGAAAAGCTGTGAAGGAGTCATTTCCGACCCCATAAATCATATATATCCTTGATCAGCATTATAAGGTTAATCAATTTAGCTATGTTCGGGTAAAATTTATTTTTTTCAATTTTTTTTTCAATTTTACATCGTTTAATTTGTCAAAAATATACAACAAAATGTTAATTTTTTGTCATTTTAAATTAAGTATGCAGATTTATCAGCCTAATAAACACTTGCATTGCACTGCTTTCCGAATTAAAATTAATGCCTTTTTGGCAAAGTTATGAGATTTTTAAACTTTGATTTGTTGAACAAATTGTCATATAAAAATATAAATAATATCGACCCCATAAATCGTATATATTCTTGATCAGCATCAACAGGCGAATCTTTCTGGGCATGTAGTAAAGATAATACATTTTTTCCAATTTATTCAAAATTTTATATGGAGTTACATCGTTAAAAATTGTCAAACATTTTAATTTTTTATAATTTCAAATGAAATAAGCAGATTTATAAACCTAATAAAAATTAATATTGAATTGTTTTCCGAATTGAAATTAATGCTGTTTTGGCTTAGTTATGAGGTTTTTAAATTGTAATTGGTCGAAATAATTTATTTTTTATATAAAACTACGCACTCTAAAAGTAAACCTATGTTACTAATTCCCTTTAAAATGCAATCAAAAGTTTCCCTTTTGGAAATGGAAATGGAAATTCCCGTATTCATATTTTAACTAACTACTTTTTAACCATTTCCAATTAAGTGGGTTATAACTGGCAGTCGGCTAGGGTGAAAAACTTTAAATTAGATTTGTTATCAATTTGACAGACAGGCTTAAACCGGTCTGCAATCTCCTTTTTTACTGCGGATCCTTTTTAATCCTGGCCATATGCACCTGACAGTCGGGTTGCAGCTGCTGCTGTCCGCTCTTGGCCAAAGATAATATTCCGCTGATTGTCACTCATTTGCATTTGTCATTCGTATTATGTGCAGCCCAAGCTGGCCAGCAGCTTCCATTTTCTTTGTGATTTCCATTCTCCTGGCACTATCAAATGGAGCGGCAGACCCGATGGCAAGGATCCATTTAACTTGCAATTTGTGCAAACGACTTACAATTGTCGCAGACAATTTTGCCATTTTCTTTTCTATTTTATTTCTTTTTTTTTAAGCCAGTACTGGAAAATGGGACGTAAAATCGCAAATTTCCACATTTCATCTTTATTTTCCTGCTTCGCTCTATTCTCAAGCTTAGCCAACCGAAAAAAGCAGCAGGAAAAAATGGGAACAAAAATGGGGGAAACAGGAAATCCGTTTAATCTGTTCTCACTAACGATATCTCTGGAGATTTGGGGTTTTAATTTTAAGTGTTTTTTAAAAAGATTAGCTTTACTTAAAAGTAAATAATAAATAGTATTTTATATTTTAGGTAATTTCTAGAAACTAAGTAAATAGTTAAATTAATGTTGCGCACCTTTATAAAGAAATTTAAAATTGTTATAGATTTTCTGTTCGTTTTTCCTCTTCAAATTCACGCTAGGCTGCGCTTCACAGAACACTTTCCCCGTGGCAGGCTTTCCATCTTGTTCAGGCCTGGCAAATTGGGAGCACTTTTCCAGGCCAACTTCGGGTGCTCGTTCGATGCGAGATAGGAATCGCAGATGGGCGGACAGGTGGGTGGTGACTCCAGGTGGAAAGGTATTTTTGAACTCCGTTCCGTGGAAGTGCGAAATATTTTCACTGCGATTTGCATTCGTTGGCGGTGGGGGGGGGGGCGTGGCAGCTCGATTTGGCGCCGCACATAAATGCAAATGCAAAAAAGTGGCCAGAAGCGGAGGGAGACGAGGGAGACGATTTTCGATTGGATCGCAGGATGGAGCCGGGGTGCATAGGTGGCAGCTGGCAGCGAACAAAGTGTGGCATACATTTAGGCGTCGCCGCATGCAAATGTTTGACGTTATACAATAATAAAAGCAAATCCGTGGCAAAGCAAGCAAGAAGAAAAAAGGAAAACAGCAAATAAACGAGGTACACACAAATATACACATCATATTATATATATATATATAACTTTTTTTTTATATATATTTCCCTCGGCTTATTCTTGCGACGTTTTTATTTCCCTTTCTGCTCTTTCAGTTTTGCATATTTTTCTTGTTCGATTTTTATCGCCACGTCGACGACGACGACGAAAATGTTGCGCAAATATTTGCGCTTTTATGTGCATAGGAAAAACCTCTTCTCGCTTTTTTTATGCCTTTTTCCCTTCCCCCCCCCAACCGTCGACTTGGAAATTTTTCCTCTCATTTCATTTTGTGCATTCAGATTTTCGCTTTGCAGATGCTTGTTGTTGCTGCTTTTTATGATTTACTTGTGCTTTGTATTTGTACTTTGCTTCGTATTTGTGTTTGTGTTGGTATTGGAATTGGTACACAGAAAAAAATATATTCATTTTGATTTTGGTAACTTTTATACTCCTGAAGGCCAGGGAAATCGATCATAACTTAGGCAAAAATTCATTAATTTCAATTCAGAAAGCTGTCCTATGCTAGTTTTTGTTAGATTAATAAATCTGCTTACTCTATTTAAAATTATAAAACATTTAAAATTTTTGCACTTTTTTTGACAATTTAAATGTAACCCCTTATAAAAATGTGAAAAAATTGGCCAAAATTTATTATCTTTCCTACATGCCTAAAAAGATTTGCTGGTTGACGCTGATCAAGAATATATATGATTTATGTGGTCGGAAATAATTTCTTCAACAATTATCAAGCTTCTGACTAAATAATAATACCTTCAAAGGGTAAATCAAGTTAATGGTCAAAATGGAAAATATATTTGTGTATTATGGTCCAAAACATTCAATGTCAAGCATTTAGACACATCTTATAATGATTTAAAATATCTTCAGCTTTATTTTATTTGTAATACATTGTGAACAAATATTTGCAAGTATTTTTTTGTACTAAAGAAACTTTTTAAAATACTTCAAGACTGCTCTTTAGGGGTTTTAAAATCTCCAGTTAAAAATATACCCAGTTCTTTCAGTGCATTTTGTGTACACACTGTTGCAAAGGTAAATTGGATTGAGAAATTGAAATCGCATTCCGTGGAGAAAGGGAGGGAGAAATAAGCAGAGGAGAACAGAACAAGAGAGGAAGAGAAAGAGGGGCAGAGAAAGAGAGACAGGCGAAAGGAGATAGAGGAAAATCTTTTCCGTTTTATTTACCTTATTGATTTTCCCTTTTGTACAGGTCGCACTGTGTACTTGTCCCCCTCCCTTCCTACCGAGATAATCGAGCTGAAGTTGCATTTCCCATTTAGGTGGCAAAAGTTTAATGGATTTTCCACACACATTTTCCTCAATACCGACTCCGACTCGGAAAAGTGTGCTTTAAGAATGTATCTGCTTTCCCAAACACCTGGCGTGATACTGACAATCCCCCAACATCCATCAAAGTCCGGCGTTAAAACCATTTCCATGTTCTTTTCATTTCCCAGAACAAATTGTCGTCAAATAAGGAACATTCAGCCCATGACGTCACTGCTAATTAGAGTAAAATGTGGGGAAAATTCGTTCCGGTGAGTGACACTGTCAGTTTTTTCTTCCTTTTGTTTTTTTTTTTGGTTGCAATAATCGGACCAATTAGTTGATTTAACGCAGCTTGACCCATTGTCAATTTGCTAACACAAAATCGGGCCTTAAATGGTTTTGCTATAGTTTGTTAGAGATGAAAAATATATCACCAGTTTTAGACATGTTAATTAGTTAAATACCTCTTATTTATATACTGAAATCTAAAAATTGTTGGGATGAAAGTTTGATTTTTGATTTTCCATTATGAAATGTAAAAAACTTTAGTTAAGTTTAAATTTGTATTTTGTGATCCATTTTCGATTAGTCAGAGTTTTGGGGGTTTAATTAGAAAAGTATATGAAAACATCTGAGTTCCCATTCTCTGAGATAAAATATTAAACATGGCAAAGGTTAATTACAATATAATTCAAAAAAATTTTACAGATCAATAAGCAAGAAAATATTTATATATATATTTATAATCAAAAAATCATATATTTTAAATCCAATCCAATTATTAAATCCAATTGCAATATAATGTATCATTTTCTACACTTAAATGCGATTAAAAATGATAATAAATGATAATTATTAAGACATTAATATGAGTATAAAAACGTGTCAACTTTTCTGAGCCACTTTATTGTCGTTTAAAATGTTTATCCGGAGAAGTCCTTTTGTTCAACTCATGGTGTTCTTATATCTGATTAACAGAGTATAAAATATTATCTTATTTGGTATTTAAAATATTATATTTATTATGAAAAATATTCCAGATTACCTCTTTGGTAGAGTTCACTAACGTCAAGTGCGTTACCTTGGACCCAGAGTTTGATGAGTTTGAGTATTGTTTTCTAAAGTCTGTGAATCGTACCTACAAATACATGTCGTTGAAAGTGAATCTGCTCAAAAAGCCAATTACTAAAATTAAGGTATGTATGTTTTTTAATTTTTAAGTACTACACACTGTACTTAAAAACACGTATATTTTTAGATAAATGTGGCACTGCTAAAACGATATAGTGGCTATAGGCCTTTTCTCTATAACATTACTGTGGATGCCTGTAGATTTGTAAAAAATCCCAGCTCTAATCCCATCGCAGGCTTTATTTACAGTTTATTCAAGTCTCACTCCAATATTAATGGTTCATGTCCGGTTGCTGTGAGTTCTTTATTAATTTTTTAGTTTATTTTATTTAGAAATGGTATATTATTCCTTCGCAGAAAGATGTTATTGTAGAAAAACTTCCTGTTGATTTTATCAATACCAAGCTAACGAAGGTTCTGCCCTTTCCACATGGTGACTTTCTTTTTCATTCAAACTGGATTGCTTATGATATCAATCGTGCCACGGTTGATGTTTACTTTACACTTTCTTGATGGAACTTTGGTAATATCATGTTTTTTCGTAAAATAAATACATTTTGTAGTTTGCTTGACCTACAAGTGGTTTATTCGATAAATTTCAATATTGAAAAACTATAAATCTACGACAAATATGTTCAGTTATTTGGTATTGTGTGTGGGTGTTTATGTGTGTTCTATATGCAAGATGACTTAATTACATGAATGTTTCTCTCTGCGATCCAGTTGACAATTATCAATGACCGGTTGTGAAGTGAAGGTAACCCTAACCCGAACCCATTAATCTCCCTTGTGACAGTCAGTAATGACGCTGCATCACACGGTCTAGATCATTCCAACTGCAGGAATAATCGATCTGGAGCAGGCCCTTCTTGCTCAGTCCGAATTTACGGGCGTAAATTCCCGAGTAGAGCGAGGAGTCGCCACCGCTGGAGTGTGGGGATGCTCCGCGTCGCTCCAGTGTCCTGTCCACCCCCAAGGTGCCATAGAGGGTCGAGGGAGCGGCATATATTAAGGACGTGGCCTGCTGCTGGCACTCGTTGCAATCCGGTATGCTGCAGTACGGCAATGTAGCGTACGGATTGCAATAGTCGTAAGCGGGCGAGAGCGGCGGTGGGGCGGGAAATTCGATCTGTGGTGGATTTAGATTGGGATTCGGATTCGGATTCGGATTTCCCATCTTGCTGCTACGCCTGCGCCTTGGATGTGGTGCTGTTCCATAGCCACTGGTGGCCATGTGATTTTGACTGGGAACAGAGCGTCGCTGGAGAGTGGCGGCCCGCCGTGGTCGTTCGTCTCCAATGGAGGATGGATGCTCCATGGAACTGGTACTGGAGAAGCCTGAAAGAGAATGATTATGGTAAGTCAGCTTCAGTTTATTAAAGTAATTTAATTAACATTTACCCCCAAAGCCATTGTATAGCTGCCGCTGCTCCTCGCCATAGAGCTCCTCTTGCTCCTCCTCTGCCTCGCCATCGTCCAGGTGCAGTTGCCTGGTCATGGTGGCCATGTAGTCCTCATACCGACTGGGCGCACCATACACATCACTCCTGGCCGTATACAGTGGCTCTTTGCGGGCACTGCGGCTCCTCCTCCTGCTCTGGTGACTCCTCTGGGGCACACAGCACTCCAGCTGGCACTGGGCCCGGGACACGCGACGTGTCTGGGTGTGAGGCCTTGGCATCGTGGCTGACATGCCCATGCCGTAGCCATAAGTGGGACTGGGTGTTAGGGAATTGTTGTTGGAATTGTTGTTGCCACTGCCATAGACGGGCTCCACCACCTCTTGGCCACCCATGGTGACATCATCGATCTTTTTCCGCACATAATCATAGTTCTCCAGGTCCCAGGGATCCACATAGCAACGTTGCGAGGGTAGCAGGGTTGTGCCATAGATATCCTCGGTGTTATCAATGGTGTAATAAGGGGATTCCAGGGCACCCACTCCCTCGGAGGAGCTACCCGGAGGCAATGCCTGTTTGGGTCCAGTTCGACGCCTACGCGGTGTAGTTTGACTACGTTCACGCATGCTGCAGAGATTAAAAGAATAAATAAACATTAAATTTAGATTCAAACCTTTTATTATATTATATAAACTTCAGCCTCAAAAGTTTCATCTTCTCTGATGATCTCTGCTCCAAAATCGTTTTGTGTGTGTGTGTGGGAAAGTCTTGAGAAAATCGTTGAAAACTAGAGGAGTTTTCACACGATGAAAACCACGAGCAAGTGCATCAACTTGTTGGCTAGTTGGTTATATAATGCATTTTGCAGTCACCACAACTCAGTCAGTGCCTAACTCTTCCGTCAGGCCAATCGAACCCGTTCTCCAGCATTGGCCGCGAATTTTCCCGCGTTGCATCTGAACAGGTATACTTCATATATATCTATGTATATATCTTCTCTTGCAGGTGTTACACTTCACGACTTCACTACTGCAAACATTAGCCGGTTTATGGTCTATGCATATTTTAGCATGGCATTCCAATTGCCAACAACTGACTGGTTTACTGCTAAAGATATTGATATCAAAATCTGAAAGCCGAAAACAAATTGATTTACCTATCAAATATACATATACATATATTTAATTGAAAGCAAAACTGAAATGGAGCTCTCGCCTGCTAGTAATTAAAAATATTTCATTAAAATATGTAAAACAAGTCATGTGGAATAATTGCAATACAAAAAAAAATAGTGGCTGAGAGGAAAGGTTTAACTAGAATGTCTGATTGATTGTATCAATTGCAAATGGCTCTATGTTTCGTTACTCATTTTTCCATGGGCAGTAAAAGTTAATTAAAAGAATGGAACCATATTTAAGATCAGAGCTTAAAATTGACTACTGAATAAAACTCATTCAATTTTTATAAACCCCATTTTTTAACTCACATTAAATATGATTAATTCAGTAAAATTTCATTTTACCCTTTTTTCTTCCACTGAAACAGTTTTTTTCTATTTTTAACTGAAATAGTTATGAGCATTTTTTGTAGGCTTTGGGTTTTTTTCAGGTTTTTTCTATTTTTTACCTCAGTTATGAGCTTGCAAACGCCCATTCGAAAAAAGGTTTTATGCAATCTTTTAAGAGGGGGAATTGGTAATTTCTACATTTGCATAAAAATGCCGTGTTCGCATTGTTTTTGGCTGTTTTGTTTTAATCACTTCGGTTATCGATTAACATTTCTATGGCTTTGACAAGCTTAACCCAACAAGAGGTCTTTTTCTTCATATTGGGTGTAATATGTACACAGTAAGAAAAACACCATGACTTGGCAGAGGCAAGCAAAGCGAAATCGTATATCTTGGTGGGTGTGCAACTTTTATGGCATATATCCAAACATTAAATATACACAAGATATATATTTTGAATGCAGTTTCCAGCAATTTATATGCAAAAGAAAATAGTTTAGGGCTTGTTTTGGGCTTTTGTCATGACTTATTTATTATTCAAGCGAAATCAAAAATGTATTACCAGCATGGGTGGGTGAGGATATGTGTGAATAATATTAAATCAGTTGCAAATATTTGCAATATTTATAAGAGTAAATGTACATATTTCTATGCATTATTTACTTTCCTTTGAAAGCTCATTGTTTATGGAAAAAAACAAGCTTATTAAACCCTTTGATCTAGTATTAAAAAGGAACTACACTTCTTTGTTAAAAACACCTCATTACGTATACGCCGCGTGGCCCTTAGATGTAGAAAGTTAATTACATGTGCAATGTTTAATCGCAATTAAAGTTGAATATGCATATGCATTTAGCCTGAGTACACTCGGAACCACTTATGGACACAAGTTCCTGCTAATTAATTGGCATCTTTGGCCGAGACTTCCACTGCTCTGCGGTTGACTGATTGCCCCGGTCAACCTCAGGGGCCCAGGGTTTCAGCCAGCCTCAGTCATCTGTGGTTCATCTCGGCACTAAATTGCCCCTTTGACTTTGGCTTTGGGCCATTTGCATACCAAATGTGTCAAGTTCGAGTCGAATTACTTTGTGTAATTTAGAGTTAAAAGTGGTTTAGCAGATGATTGATAGTCGCTGGCTACCTGCATTTAGTTTCTATTAATATTACCTGATTTGCGATAAAGTAATTGGGTTGGACTCGATCAGAAAAAGAAAGTATTTACCTTTTGCGTATAAAATATCCCGTACATAATACAAAATCCAATTATTTTTGTAATACCCTAAGTCTTTAAGTATTATAATAAATCGTAGTGAGAAGCCTTAAACTTAGTAAAGGAGTCATTTCCGGCCCTATAAATCATATATATTCTTCATCAGAATTGACAGCCGAATCGATCTAGCTATATCTGGGAAAAATTGAGTTTTTTCAAAATTTTTTCAATTTTTATTATAAAAATTGTATAAAAAAAAGACAAAAATGTTAATTTTATTAAATTTTATATTGAGTATGGACATGTTTTCACCTAATAAAAACTAACATAAAACTGTTTCCCGAATTGAATTTATTGCTTTTTTGGCTGAGTTATGAATATTTTAAAGTTTTATTTGTCCAACAAAATTTTAACATAAAAATATTTATAAATATATAATAAATTATAAATTTTAAAGCTTAGTTATGACATATTTCCGATTCCATCTTATAATTGAATTTTCAAACTAGCTTTTAAACTACAATTCACTTAAGACACACATGGCGTATACTTAATTTAGGGGTCTTTACGTTAAGTATACGCCATGTATTCTAGATTTATCTTAAACCGAAGACAATTTTTATACCCTTTCAGGGTGCTAATATTGTAGTCAAAAGCCTTAAACTTAGTGAAAGAGTCGTTTCCGATCCTATAAAACATATATATTCTTGATCAGCATCAACAGGCGAATCTTTCTAGGCATGTAGAGAAGATAATAAATTTTTGTAAATTTTTTCAAATTTTTATTAAGGGTTTCATCGTTAAAATGGCCAAAAATTTGCAAAAATTTTAATTTTTTTAACATTTGAAACAAAATATGCAGATTTATTCGTCTAATAAAAACATGAATGGGACAGCTTTCCGATTCAAAATTAATGTTTTTTTTTGGCAAAGTAATGAGATTTTTAAACTTAGCTTTTGTTGATCAAATTGTTATATAAAAATATAAATAAATATCAATGCAAAAAGATAATATAATCATTAAGCTTAGTGATGATCGAATTCCGATTTGATCCCCTAATTCAATTGGAAACTGCAAATGTATATTGCTGGAAGTTAACATTTCTTGTTATCCGCATAAAACCTAAAATCCGTCAAGAAAATAATATAATAAATATGTTTTTAAAACATTTCTTTTAATAAATTGCATTTAATTTAATTTGACTTTAAATTCAATTAAGGTAATATTTAAGACACACTTTCAACCACAACCTGTTCGCATGGGTTTTTTATTTATTTTTTTGGTCAGCACTAATTATGCAAAAAAGTAAAAATAACATAAATATTTCGACATCGAATGATAATGCAAAGTAACTGGAAACAAGTTTGCCAAATGCCAGGCGGTGGCGGTGGCCAAGGCGACCTTGTTAGGTATTCGAAAAATGAATATTTATTCGAATGATATCATGACCAAAGACGGATTTACATGAACCAAATCCAGAGAGGACTGAAATGATTTCAGCCGCACCTCAAAGATAAAAGAAGATTCGCAGAGTTTTTATGGATGAATCACCGGGAAAGAACGGAGCATACCTGGGCGTAGCAGGAGGATCTCTAAATGGTGTTCATTACAATGCCACTGAAATTACATTTACATTTATTTAAAATTCATTCATATTTAAGATTCAGAGACACCCACGCCGAAGATCACTCAAACTTGACAAGCCCACAGACACAACACACACAATCGATGATGGAGCTAAAAATACACCTCAAAAGATCTTGGGACGCAGCCCACATAAATCCGCAAACTTTCTTTGCTTTTGACACAGTTTCCTTTAGCGGCTTCATTCACCTTTTTTTGTTTGGATTGGAAGGAATAGATAATAGAATTTTAATTTCTGGATTTCTTGGCTCTCGGTGACTTGTCACTTTGCAGTAGAACGCCTTATTTTATGGTCACAATTCTTTTGGGGTCGAATTTGCGAATTTCAAGCACGTCCGATCCGTTCATGATCAACGCGCATGCGCAGACGCGTTGTGTTCACTTCTTCGACCGGCACTCAACTGTTTTTGTCCAGCTTTGTTTGTCTTTCAGCCCGCAGAGTTAACCAAACTAAGAGCGAACGTGTTCGAAGTGGTTTGAAGTGATCATCGCGTTGTGTTTGTGCGGTTGATAGAGGCTCGGTTCGCTGCTCTTTGGGGAGTTTTGCCAATTTTCATCAAAATTAATTAGAGTTTCCATTCAACGTTTTATGGCTTTGGTTGAGTGTAATTTTTGGGGCGACTTGTAAATTAATTAGCAGTAAATTAAAGTGACAGCAAGTGATTATGTCACAGCCGGAGAGCGCTCTTAAAGTCACATTGATATGCAAATTTGTGAGTCGTCGAAATGCGGCTGCAAATACGCCCAAAAGAAATGTTACAAAAAGTGTACAAAATAACAAGATTTTTAATAAGCAACTAAAGGAAAATACTCTTTCTTATTAAAGAGATTTTTGTAAAAATGTAATATTAAGGAAATCACGAAGGAAAAATATTTAAAGCTAAGACTAAGAGAAGGCAAGTTGTTGTCAAGGTTGAGGAGAGCTTTCTTTAAATACGTAGAAGATAATTTTTTAGGCAGAAAATACATATATCCAAAAAAAGGGAAATATTAAATTGCACTCTCTTATACAATTTCAAGAAATGTTTCTTATTATTAATATTAACTTTCATTACATTTTATTTAATAACAATAAAATCCAACGAAAATATGAAATAATAATGAGCATTTTCTTAGATTCTTTAACTGACTACTGTAATACATACATAATTCGAAATTATTATTTTCTACTCTCTAATAATCTCTGAAAAAATATATAAATATCTAAACTTCGTAAAATGTAATTTTATTACATTTTCTTCAAAAAATAAGCTGAATCATGTGACCATTAGCTTTTATTCCCCATAAATTGCAGACTTTCAATTTCCAGGTGCAGTAAAAATAACCTTGGGTAAGAGTAAGTTGTAAAAAGCAGCTGCCAAGTTCAAGTTTTTCTTTATTTTTATTTATTTTTTTTCTTTTTGTGGCTAGGAAAGAAATGTAGGAATTCACTGCCGAAAGAAATTACATCACTTCAGCTTCAACTCGAAACGCCGCTTTTGGGTGGAGCAACATTCGTCGACTTTTGAATTCATGAAAAGCAAGAAAACAGGTGATGAGCATCATTTCTCATTCGAGATCTTTTTTTCCCACTGTCAGCAGCCACTGCTCTTAGTTTGCCACCGAAATAAATCTCCAATAAATTATGCAGCTTTTTTTGAAGGTAAAGTATTTATAAAAAAGTTTATATTGTTTGAAAAAAATAACTAAAAAAATCACTTTCACTTCCAATGCGGTGGCGTTTGCTGTTTTGCTTTTATTTTTATTTATTTTTTTTTGTTGTTGTTCCAAAATCGTGCCGATATTTATGGTGTTTGTTCAGTCAGGTCAGTTATTATTTCTTTTTGCGGTGAGCCTCGAGTGCCAACAGCCAATTGATGGTCTTTGGCCAAACTGAAAACAATTCAATTAAGCCAACTGAAGTGGCCCACAGTTTGCGGTCAGATAAGTCACCAAAAAGGCAATTAACAAACAATTGTCTGGACTCCTTTTCTATATATTTTTTTAAAAGATTTATGCAACATATATGGCCACAGCGAGGGAAGTGAAATATTCTCTTAAATTTAAGTTAGTTTTTAAATTTGTTTCGGGTTTTTGTATACATTTTAAGCAATTAAATGGCAGCCAAAAAAAAGGGTGTATCTTTTAATAGATTTCTATTTAGTGGCAACTAATAGTAACCTATTAAAATCTGTTTCTGATTCGTTTTCAAGTTAACATTTTCCTAAAATATCTCAATTATCCCTTCGTTTCATTTAGCCAACTTTCAGTTCATCAAATCTACATTTCTTGCCATAGAAGTGATATATATATTTGCCCTCAATAGGAGGAGGCTCCCCAGCAAATTGCCACTTTTAGCCATGTTCGGGGGACTCTTGCAGCAAACGCACAGGAAACCGGCTGCACCTGGTGGCCACCTCACCTGGAGAGAAGTGCAGGGGCTCAGCGGAGGGAGGAGGCCGCTACACAACCAGATGTTTGCCTTTGACTGGCGGCGGCAGACTCGTTGATCTCTGCTCCAATTCCAATATCTGTGTGTGTATGCTCGTTCGGTTATTTTCCCCCTACGTTCGTATGAGTATCTTTTATGTGTATTCGCACCGTCGACATTGTGCAACATGCTCTGCGATATGGCTAAGAGACCCCCAACCCCCAATAGGCCCCAAAGCCCAGTCAGCAGCCCCTCCGATTGCTAACACACACACACTGGTCCAAAAGGCAACATTTTTTGACATACCATTTCAACAGACGGAATTCCAACATTCTGATTTGGAATTACTGAATTTTTTAGAGGATTCTTTGTGGTCATTAGCCATAGATAACATATAAAATTATAGTAAATTAAACAGGCTTTTTTTGTATATTTTTATTTCATAATTTAAAGGCATTCTTACACGTGAATTTTATATATTTAATATTTAATTGGGTAGATTATTGCAGATAATAAATTTGAACACTTTAAATGTAACAAATGGATGTGTTACATTTGTATTCGCTTGGCCACAGATTTAAACCTTTTACATATTTTTTTATAATTTTTAAAGGTTGTGTAAACTTTAAAATAAAGTTTTAGCTTAGCTTAAGTTATTTATTTAATTTCTTATTATACCCTTGCAGGGTATTATAATTTCAGTCAGAAGTTTGCAACGCAGTGAAGGAGGCACCTCCGACTATATAAAGTATATATATTCTTGATCAGGATCAACAGCCGAGTCGATCTAGCCATGTCCGTCTGTCCGTCTGTCCGTCTGTCCGTCTGTCCGTTTCTACGCAAACTAGTCTCTCAGTTTTGAAGCTATCTGAATGAAACTTTGCAGTTAGTCTTCTATATACTCTCACTCGTATATATGTCGGAACGGGCCGGATCGGACGACTATATCATATAGCTGTCATAGGAATGATCGGAAAAGTTTTACAAAAAAAATTATAAAATTTTTAGTTTTCAACAGAATTTGATCAAATTTGAGATATAGCCATTTCATATTATTCTACAATTTTGTGTAAAATTTGATGAAAATCGGACGACTATATCATATAGCTACCATAGGAACGATCGAGAAATTTGAGAGGAATGAGAATGGCGGTGGCTGTTGTCGGAAGACTGACAATCGCGGTGGCGATAACATTTTTAGTTTTCAACAGAATTTAATCAAATTTGAAATATAGCCATTTCATATTATTCTAAAATTTCGTGTAAAATTTTATGAAAATCTGACTACTATATCATATAGCTCCCATAGGAACGATCGAGAAATTAATACAATTAAATTTATAACTTTTTCAGTTTTCAGCTGATTTTCATCAAATTTGAGGTATAGCCATTTTATATAAGTCTTAAATTTTGTGGCAAATTCCGTAAAAATCAGACGACTATATCATATAGGTGCCATACAAACGATCGTTTGATGTAGAGGAAAAATGAAAATCTGTGAATGTAAAACTGCAAATATAATATGTATAGGTGAATGAAATGAAAGCAGGTATTACTTCATTGTTTTTTAACACAAATATATATAATTTATATTGTATGGATTCCTATTCATAGAAGTTCTATCTGCAAGGGTATATAAACTTCGGCGTGCCGAAGTTAGCTTCCTTTCTTGTTAAATAAAAATATACACCAGCACTATTTGACTGTTAATTTTGTACTGTCTTAATTTACCATTTCATTTTTAATCTCTCAAGCTTAAATATATAATTTTTTTTGGTAACACCTTGGCCAGTGTGAAATTGGCAACAGCTGCAGTGAATATTAGAGAAGCTGGAGCGCGCAGATTGCGCTGCACCCAGGCCCAGGCCCAATCCCAGATCTGAATCCAAATCCGAGTCATGTTTCTCCATTGCCACTTTCGATTTTTCATAGCTCGATGTTGCTATTTTTCTGTTTTTTTTCTTTTTTTTGCAACTCACTCACAGTACTCTGTCGCCTCCCCTTTTGCGGCAATAATTGTAAGTGGACCTGGGCATTTATGGCGTTTTACTTCTTTGGGCCATTTGGTCCCCATGTTGGCCATTTTGCACGTGTTCGGCCCACAAAAGGGAAACAAAACGAAATGCGAGAGAAACGGGGAAGAAATATGCCCGGTAATTGTGTGCTTCCCCCTTGATGTGTCAGCAGTAAAAAAGAAAGAAACACACACTTTTTGTGTGCGGTTCCTTTTGCAAATGTTCCTTCCTGGACAATTGTCAGCTTCGAAAAAAAAGAAAAGAAATAAAAAAAGAAAGAAACGGTCGCCTTTTGCCCGAAATGTTTGCCATCCGCTTCAATGTGAATTATTCAATGGCAAAAGGAAATGAAAATTAATCATTCAAACAGAAATATGAATGACTCTCTGAATGTGGGGTAGGTTTCAGTCCGGTTCTCTGGGTCTATGTTGGGTCTTTTTTTAGTCAAGGGATTTTAGCCTTTATTCTATCAATTATTTATACAGAAAATGGATAAAGAATTCAATTATGAATAAATGATATGGAATAGGTTTACAATTGAATTTATGTAAGCCAGTCATGCTGTATTATATTGATACAAATATAGTTATAATCTTTTTTGTCTTATTTTACACTAAACTATCTCATTTAATATTTACAAAAAATCATTTAGGCTCATAAAAGGCTTTTAATTTTGCAAATTACTTAAAAACTTAAAGCCTGAGCCCAGCTCAAATTCGTAAATCATATCGATAATCCCTAGGCTTAGTTGAACGACCCGACACAATGGGCCATAACTGAAGCCATTAAATTTGTATTTAAATCCACTCATTGCTCAATCCGCCTGATGATGCAATAATACCTAGCACTGCAGGCAGACATCCAAGCAAAAACCAACAACATGAACATCAGCACACCAGAAGCATCATCATCATCATCATCGGCATCTGACATGCCGAGGGCCAAGCCAGC